CTCCTTGTGTTTATAGACATCCACTAAGGGAGATGGTAAGCCTAGCAAGGGAACTCAATGCCTCATTCACATGGATCAGGAGAACTGTAAATGGGATGGCCAAACAGGGAGTTCATAGGCAGCAGCTCTTCTGGGCTGTCTGTGTTCTACTCTCTGTAATTATGTATCTAATTCTCTTAATTGAATAAAATTCTCATTTTGCTGATCAAAAAACAAATCTCCTATCCCTTTGTTTGCTGTATTTGGAAATGGCTTTGCTTTCTGTTTGGTTGTTGGTGGAGCCCCCTTGCTAGTTTGGATAGGCTGTTTAGCCCACCCTTTCTGAGGAGAACCAAGGTGTATAAAGGCAGCAGTGATTTGGACAGTTTGAGAGGAGAGGAATATAAGAAGTTTTGGGGACAAAGAAAAGAATAAGGAGACGGTTATTGAGTTAGTAACCTCAAGAGTGACGCATTGGGTGAAGACATTATATCTGTTTTCAGACTTCATAGTAGAGGATTTCTTTAGGAATTGGGGGTCAATAGCTGGCTTTTTTTCTCTAGGAAACAAAAAATCCGTTTGGTCACCCCCAATTGGTGATTGAATAAAACTGAATTTTGACGGCAGTAGCTTGGGCAATCTTGGTCCTTCAAGAACTGGGGCTGTATTAAGGGAACAAGGGTAGTCCTTTGGAGTGGAAGATAAATATTTGAGGTGGTCCCTTAGGAAGAAGTTGGAGGATGTTTTGTTTAAGGAGGGGATCAGTTGGAGAGAAAAATCTAGGCATAAGTGGATTAAGGAAGGAGACAACAATACTAAATTTTTTCATGCTTTGGCAAATGGTTGGAAAAGAAAGAATTTCATTTCTAAATTGGAGGTGAATGAAACCACCATTACCCAACAAAGTGATATTGAAAAGACTTGTGTGGATCACTTTAAATGCATCTTTAGAAGGCCTTTAAGGGAGAGGGTGTGGCTGGACGGATTAGAGTAGCCAAGACTCTCGGAAGATCTTAAGATGTGGGTGGAGAGGAGTTTTGATTTGGAAGAGATCAGAGAAGCAATTTTCTCCGTGGATAGATCTAAAGCTCTTGGGTCGGATGGTTTCACAATGGCTTTTTATCAGGACTACAGAGAGATCCTAAAAAATGATATCCAAGAAGTCTTCAATGAATTTTTCAGGAGGGATGTGATTAATCCTAGCTTAAACTCCACTTTCATTGCCCTAATTCCAAAGGATGATGTTGTTCACCCCAAGGACTTTAGACCCATCAGCTTGGTGAATAGCCTCTACAAAATTATTGCAAAAGTGCTTTCTCGTAGAATAAGGCATGTTCTCCCTTCCATTGTTTCCCCAAATCAAGGGGCTTTTGTGAAAGACAAACAAATAATTGATCATACTCTTATAGCCAATGAAAGTGTAGAAGAAATGAAAAATGTGGGGAAAAAAGGCTTTGTTTGTAAACTAGGTCTTGAGAAGGCCTAGATTGGGACAGCCTCTTAGAGGTCATGACGAGTTTTGGGTTTGGAGACAGATGGTGTAAATTAGACAAGGACTTGTCACTATTCTATTTTGGTGAATGGGGGAGTTGTTGATCACTTCCAGACTCTCAGGGGAATTAGACAAGGGGACCCTCTTTCTCCATTCCTCTTCACCTTGATTGCTGATGTTCTTGGAAGACTAATCTCTAGGGCGGATTCTAGAAGCTTGGTGAAGGGTTGGAGAGTGGGTAGAGAGAGTGTGCCAATCAACCATTTCTATGACGAGGGTGACTGGAGGTGGACACAAAATCTAAAGTTGGTGGTTCAATTATTTGAGAGATTGTCAAACTTGAAGGTGAACCTTGAGAAAAGTTGCACTACAGGGATTAACATGGATCAGAGGGAGATATCTGATATTGTTGAAATCTTAGGTTGTGGGGTGGCTCAGTGGCCTTTGGTTTATCTGGGGCTTCCTTTGGGTGATAATCCAAGATGTGCTAGTTTCTAGAACCCTGTGTTGAGAGATTCACTAAAAGGTTGGCATAGCTAATCTGCCTGTGTGCTATCTTTCAATGTTCAAAATTCCTAAAGGTGTGAGTGGAAAATTGAAAAAATTAATGAGGGACTTTTTGTGGAAGCCTGGTGAGGAGAAGAAAGATCACAGGGTTAGGTGGGAGGTGGTGAGTAGGAGCAAAAAACTTGGAGGTCTTGGTGTTGGAAACATTCGGAAAAGGAACATTTTTCTTTTAGGGAAATGGTTATGGAGATGGCTAGCTGAAAAGGACAAATTATGGGCAAAGATGATTATTAGCATTCATGGGCTTGCAGCTAATGGATGGGATGTTGGATTGTGGAACAGGGCAACAAGAGCTTCTCCATGGAAATCAATCTATGGTATCCTTCCGATCTTCCTTCCCTTTGTCAGATACAACCTTTGCTCGGGTAATCTTGTCAAATTCTTGGAACATGTGTGATTGGGTGACCTCCTGTTGAAAGAACAATTTCCCTCCCTTTTTAGACTTTCTACTTTTAAGAATGAACTTGTATCTTCCTTTTTGTTACCTTCTAGCTCAGCTTCAGTCTTTGCATGGAATTTGGGGTTTAGAAGGAGTCTTAAGGAGGCTGAATTGAGTAGTGTTTCAGTTTTACTTAACCACTTGGATGGGGTATTCTTTAACCCTTTAGAGTCAGATGGCAGGATTTAGTGTATTGATCCTTCTAGTTGCTTTTCATGTGCTTCCTTCTTTTCAGCTTTGATCCAACCTTCTTCTAATGATTCTATGGTGACCTTTCTGGTGAAGGAGGTCTGGAATAAGCCTATTCCTCCTAGGATAAGTGATTTTTGTTGGGAAGTCTTCTTGGGTAGAATTAATACTTGTGATCTTCTCCAAAAAAAGAGACAAAATTGGTGCCTCTCCCCAAATTGGTGCATCCTTTGCAAGGCTAACGGTGAGACTAGTTACCACTTATTAATTCCATGCCCTTTTGCTCTTTATATTTGGGAATGGTTTCTTTCTTTGTTTGGGTGCAGGTGGAACCCCTTGCCAAATGTTCAAGGCTTGTTTGCTTCTTCCTTCGTTAACTTGAGAAAGAGGAGGGGAAGAACCCTTTGGAGGTGTACAAGAGCGGCAATATGCTGGACAATATGGGAAGAAAAGAATCCAAGAATTTCCTCTGACAAGGAAAGGAGCAGAGAAGCTATCATTGAAGCCATCACTATCAGAGTTATCCATTGGGTTAAATCCTTGAGAAGCTTTGATGACATTCCCACAAATGACTTGCTTAGAAAGTGGAAGGAGGTGGCTGATTCTTCTCTTCCAAGAGCTGTTATTAGGCTGGTTTGGGGTCCCACCTCCTAGTGGGTTTTTTAAACTGAATTTAGATGGTAGCAATGAGGGGAATCCGGGCCCTTCAGGTATTGGAGGTGTTTTTCGGAATGAGGAGGGAGGTGTTATTGCCCTTACTCGGGACCAATAGGTGCAGGAGACTCCTTGAGGGCAGAAATCCTGGTTGTGGTGGAAGGGATCCGAAAAAGCAAAGGAGCTGAATATAAGAAAGTTGATCATAGAAGGGGATCCAAAGCTGGTTGTTAGCTGGCTGCAGAAAGACGAAACTGGTTGGTAGAAATTTGCTAATGAAAAGAGGAAGTTTAAGTTTAACTCAGGATATAGAGATCAAGTTGCAGTGGGTTAAAAGGAGTGCAAATGCTTTTGCCGATGTCTTGGCAAAGCAAGGAGTGGGAAGGGATCAACTTTTCTGGGCTGTTCCGTAATTGCTGTCCTCTATTATCATCTTGGAGAGAGTTAAGAGAGTTTATCTCTCTCCTGGATGTTCTCTTGTATCTTGCTCACTTTTAATGAAAAATCTGATTATTGATCAATATATATATATATATATATATATATGTTGTATTCGGGTTCAATTGAACAAGGTGACTAAGTAAGGGCAGAACTTTTGGCTGCAGTCTTTGGGGTACAAAAAGCTAAAGAGGTGGGGTTTACAAGGTTAGTTATTGAAGGAGATTCAAATATAGTAATTGAGTGGATTAGAAAGAAAAAGAGGTGATTTGGCAATAGAGAAATGAATTCAGGCACTTCAAATGGTTGTCAAGAAAAGCGAACATTCTAGTAAGTTGGGTAAGGTCTGCTAATGGCTTGGCAGATGGTTTATCTAAGCAAGGAGTTCATATAAAGCAAATATATTGGGCTCAATTGAAATAGGACGGTGGAGTTTTGCTGATGTAAAGGATTTTTGCCTACACAACTTCTTGTTGTAACCTCTTTCTTCTTTTGCTTTTGTTAATAAAATCCTTTCTGTGTTGCTGATCAAAAAAAAATTGCACTTGTTTTATCTTATGCTAGAAGTGGTGAGTTATCCAAATGCCTTAGAGTGATTCTAGAGACCCCCCCCCCAAATTTCCCTCTCTTCTTTCTCTCTTTATCTTCTCTATAATTCAGCAAGTAGCTAATACAACCATTAATAGTGCACAGTTTTCAGACATTTGTAAATATATATTTACCAAACAGGGGCTTGTAAAAATACTAAAAAATGCTCATGATTTAGGAATTATGGATTATTTTCAATCATTTTTTACTATTCAATTTTAAGAACTTAAAATTATTTTTCAGTATTAAGTTTTCAGTTAACCAGATGGGCCCTAGTACAGAAGATATTATTTCTGGTTAATATACATTGTAAACAAAGTTGAACTCAACCTGGCCCCAATAAGTCCAAGTCCATGTGACACAAAATAGAGTGACTTGTGACTTGTGATCTACAATCAAGACCCTGAGCAGAGTCAGGCTTAGGACCTAACATCAGGCAATGTTACAACCTGAGTGGCTGACTGCATGGTCCTCGAGCTTGGATGTGAATTGGCATCCAACCCAAATGAACCACATTAGTTGCAGCTTTACTCATGTGGCAATGAAGAAAAGCAGTATTCACCTTAAGAGTAAAACAAACAAGGTACTCAAAACTGAACTAGTTGTACAAGTAGCAATCAAAAAAAACATTAAATACGTAGGTTAGCTGCATACCTTTGGTTCTTGTTGTAAAATCTAGAAATGGTGTGGTACATTCCAATTTCTGCAGCCACATTCCATTACAACCACTCTGACATTTTCAGTAGACAATACAGTGATTAACATTGATCAAACTCAATAAACTTTTTCCCCTTATTTGGGGGAGGGGTTACACAAGAAACAAGAGGAGTCATAAATGCTACCTCTAAAGACCACAAGAAAAAGCCACCATCCTTCTCAGGATAAGATTGAGTTCAGGACTACATATTCACATAGTTTGGCTTAATACAAGATAAAGGGAACAGATCCACAAACCAACCTGCATTTCAGTAAGGTAATTAGTAAGATGAATCAAATCCCTTCTACCTACAGTTAAGATTCTTAAGAAACTCGAGTGTTTTAATTAAATTTCATTGAATTCAAATATTTAACAAATTTATTTGTTTTGCTTTTTCTTTTTTTACTGTAAAGTAGCTTTTCTCATTATTAGTAGTCTTTTTGTCCTTTCTTTGGTTGTACCTTTTTTGTATTTTTGTCTTTTTTATCAATAACTGAAATTCATTAAATTTAGAAAAGAACAATTACAGGATTGGCTTGTATTTTTGTCTTTTGTTAAAAGTCTTCTTGCAGACTTATCTCTTTGCCCAACTTGGTGTCTCCTGTCTAAGTAAGAAAGAAACCTTTGATCCCATATTTCCTAGAGTTGATAATGTTAAGATGTGTTTTTGTAATTTTCCTATTGTAACATATGTTAAGATGTGGGGTTAGTATTTGTCTTGGGCTAGTGGTGAAGAAAGATGAAAATTAAGACGGAGATGGAATCATGGTATATCAGAGGATTTGAGAGAAGAAAGATGAAGGATGTCGAATTTGTTGTAGATTCTCCTCGTTGAATAGGCAATGCTTGATAAATAATCAAGAGAATCGTTAGGGACAACCTTAGGGAAGTTTGGGGCTCTAAATTGTAATTTGAATAATTTATATCGAATTGTCTATGGGTGAATCATAATACTTTAATTTCTGTGTTTATGTGGAGGTGTTGCCTTAACACCTAGCTAGGTTGTATCATTTTTTCCTTCTAATGAAACTTTATTTTTACTATCAAAAAAAAAAAATCCTGTTTCACCATTCCATTCTGTTCAGTGCCACATATATTGTCAAATTATGGGCACTTAAATCATTTCTTACTACTTCCATCCATGTCATTTTCAGCCCACCCCTAGCTCTAACCCCTTCAACTTGTAACAAATCACTTCTTCAAACAGATGTTTAGATGGACTTACATGCACATGACATGACATGAAAGTTACCGTTTCTGATAAAAAAATGCACATGACATGACCAAACCACCATAGTTTCTTTCATTTTATCACCTAGGGGTAGCTACCCCTAGGTGTTCTTCCATATGACTTCATTTGTGACCCAATCCTTTCTAGTTTTACCACTCACCCATCTAAGCATACATATTTCTACCACATTCATTTTTTGGACATGTTTCTTAACTACCCAATACTCTTCTCTATAGTCTATACAACATAGCTGGCCTTACGACTATTTTATAGATATTTCCTTTTAGCCAAAGTGGTATTCGCCCATCACATAACAGTCTAGATGCACCCCTCTATTTTGCCCATCTTGCTCCAATTTTGTGACCAAGGTTTAAAACATCGACACACATGATACCAAAAAAATGTGTATCGATGTTTTAAAATGTGAAGGTGTGGTGTGAGTCATTCCACTACCTAGAGGCATGAGGCGTAGTTCAAAACGTAAGAGGCGTAAGCCTCCCCAACACAAGGTGTCGTAAACCTCCTTAAGAGGAGGGGGATGAGGAGGAAGGAAGAGGAGGAAGGGGAGGAGGAAGAACAGGAAGGGGGATTCATTTTTCTTTATTTTTAATATAACTATTTTATATTAAAAAGAATGAAGATGCATAACACTAGTTGAAAGGGGGGGTCTTGTCGAAGCAGAGGCAAGTGAGCAAAGTAGTGAAAAGGGGGGGTTGGGGGGTCTAAGGCACATGAGGTGTATGCCTCTAGCACGCCTCATGAAAAAAGTGTATGAGGCGTATGCCTCAGAGATGTCAGCGCCTTTGGCATACCCATTAGGGCATTTTGGGGACGCCCCTTGTATCATGTGTTTCAAGCAATCAATACTTTTTTCCTTTTTTTCATTTTGATATTTATAGATGAGTTTATTAGGATGAATATTAACAATTGAAACTGTTAAGATCCCCTAACTCTCAGTATTTCAAATATCAATAACCTTTGATAACAATATGATATGCATGATACCATGTATAAATATTGGTGCTTTAAACCTTGACTACGAGCTGTGGAATGTTTTGAAAATCATAATCGTATCATAAGTCATTAAAAAAAGTTGAATCAAATCGAATCGTGAATCATAAGATTAATTCTATTTTTAAAAAGTTGTCAACAAATTAAATATAGATATGCTAAAAGGAAAAATATAAATAGAAAATTGATTCTATTACTTTTTTAATCCATATCCACCATGTATGTACTTAAAACAATAGAATTTACAACTTATACAATAGAAGTCTAAAATGACATAATCAAGTTTGACTTGAAAGTCAAATAATCCACATACAATGGCTTTATATCCTACATAAGATGGAAATAAACTCAATAGATGGTCTTAAATAACATAAATAAATCAATTTCCAGTAAGTTCATAAAAACAAGTTGCCCCTGACAAGACTTAATATAAACAAAACAAAATGACAAAGTAGAGAACTAATTCTTAATTGAATTGACTTGAATCACAATGAATCACATGAATTGTATAAATATAAGATATGAATCAAAACATAGGATTCAAACAAAAATCGTAAGATTTTTGCTGGAAAGGATTCAAACATAAGATTTGAATCAAAAGCCTTGGGATTCATGATTCAAATCGTGAATCATATTGTAAATCATAAGATTTTGACAACAATAGCTGTATCCTCCTCAATCTACCCTTTATGATTTCTTGGATGTATAAGATTTAATTTTATTAATAGTTTTATTGTCATATCAGGAAAGGGGTAAAATCATGTGGAGGTGTGCAAGAGTTGCATTGATATGGACAATTTGGGAAGAAAGGAATGCTATAACTTTTTCGGAGAAGGAAAGGAACCTTCAAGAGATTAAGGACTGTGTCTTGGCTAGGGTGATTCAATGGCTGAAATCTATGGACTTGTTCCACCAATTCTTTAATGACGTTTGGAGGAATTGGGCAGCAGTGGCAATTTGTTCCACTTCCAAGACTAAAGTGAGAACAAGCTGGTCATCACCTCCTGCAGGTTTCTTGAAGTTGAATTTTGATGAAAGCAGTCTAGGAAACCCAGGCCCTTCTGGGTTAGGCGGGGTATTGAGGAATGAAGTCGGGAATGTGATACTTATCTTCTCAGGTCTTTTAGGAGTGGGAGACTCTACTAGAGTAGAAATGTTTGCTGCCCTGCAAGGTGTACAGTTTGCAGCTCAATTATGGGTGGAACAACTAATAGTTGAAGGTGACTCAAAGGTTGTAATAAGCTGGTTGCAGGACCCAGAGTCAGTAGTTTGGTGCTTTAGGAATGAAATTAAAAAGTTTAAGATGCTGACAAGAAACATGGACCTAAGAATACAATGGGTGGGGAGATCGGCAAACGATAGGGAAGTTTTGTATTGGGCACAACTGTAACTTATTGCTTTTGTTTTGTTCTGCAGTGGAGAGATCGCAGCTCACGCCTCTCCAAGGACTGCTTATATGTGCTAATATTTCCAAATTAATAAAAGGTTCATTTATTTGTCAACAAAAAAAAAATGGTTTTATTGTCTAAACTGAATTATATCCCCACCACCTATTTCGCGTAGGAATTTTTACAGTTAGTCTAAATTCTCCCCCAAAACTCAAATTAGACAGGTGACACCTTTGTTCCTTAAAACAAAGAAATATACGCTTAATCTGCAGAGGTTTACAAACCATTCAATGTTGCAATATCCAAAATCACCATTCATGGTTAGGATATGGATAAAATTTAAAAAGAAAAAAAAATAGAGGCAAGATATTAGTAGTAAAACTAAAATTAGTTTCCACACTGAAAATAAGGGAAGATACGGCAAATAAATTTTCCGAAGCCAAATAACTGCGTAATAAACTTTCAAATGAAACCGTGTAAATTGGGAATGCATTCACCCACTAAACAAACTAAATCATAAATCCGTAAAAACAGAACCAAACAGCAAAAAATTCGGAATAAGCAAATGCACATCAAAAGCAATAAGCGAATCCAATAAAGACTGTTACCTCAATTCAGGGTAGGAATTCTCCCAAGAGAAAATACTCTTGACTGACGAGAGAATTGACTGAAGAATAGAAAATCAGATGCAACTTAGAATGTTTACGTAATTGGATCTCTCGATTGGAAGGCGAGTCTGGATAGAGAGAGAGAGAGGGGTCAAAGATCAATAGATGGAGAAAAACAGGAACCCTAGAGAGAAACCTCAGTCCTCTTCTCTTTCTCGTCTCCTCTGAGAAAAGAAGGAGAGCAAGTAATAACTAAGACATGACACGAAAAGGAACTGGGAAGATGGTTTGGCTTTGGCCTAGTATTTGTTTGTAGTAACTGATGGTACATGCTCGGCAGTTCGGCCTCTGGGCTCTGGCCGTGGCCGTCGTTTCGTTCCCGTAGGCCGTAGCCCATATGAAATAAAGAAAAGGTCGAATAGAAACGGCCCGCGTGGCGTTATGGAATGAGACAAGCTCAATGGTTGATTGGCTGAAGCTGGAGTCAGAGATCCTGTCCAGACCCATTTAATTGGTATGTAGATTTGGATTCTGGGCCTAGTGTTAAAGCTTTAGGAGGCGTCAGAAACTGCATGGATAGTATCAAATATTAAAATCTCCTGGATCTTTTCAGAAGTATCCATTTATTCGAATCCGAAGTTGATCTGTTGAACCCGGTCAGGAGTGGCAAATGAGTGGGTTGGGTTGGGTTAGGTGAGGGTTGAGTATTAACCCACCCATACTGACCCTCTAACCCATTGACTCACCCTGACCACTCCTAGTGTATGTATAAAAACATAAAAAAATTAAAAAATATTTTTAAAATTAAAATAAAAATGCTCAAAACACTAAAAATGATAAATATACTTCATGTAGAACATAAATAATAATAATTAAATGAAAGTATCATTGCACATAAAAAAACAGAAAATTGTATAAAACATACAAAATTACAGGAAAATGTCAAAAAAATAGGAAAATGCAGAAATTTAGAAAAATATAAAATTGAAAAATCAATATCAAAAAATGTAAAAATTATAGAAAACAAACACAAAAATCGCAAATAAATAACAAAAAATACAAGAAATATATAAATTGCAAAAAAAAAAGACAACATAAATTATCAAACATTACAAATTATAGAAAACACTAAAATGCGAAGAAAATACAGAAAATGGAAAAACTCGCAGGAAAAACAACAAAAAATTATAATCAAGCAAAAAAATGCAAATAAATGACAAAAGGTACAAGAAAAGCAAATGTAAAAAACGTATGGAAATTACAAAAATTGATAGATTTTTTTATTTTTTAATATAAGAAAATCAATGAACACATATCTAGTTTTGAACCCAGATCTATCATCGCCCTAGCTTCACGATGAACACAAATCTAGTTCAAAACCAAATCTTACCATTGCCCTCTCTTCACAATGAACACAAATCTTGTTCAAAACCAGATTTGTCATTACCCTATCTTCAATAAAGGAGACGATGAACACAGATCTAGTTTTGAACCAAATCTAATGTGAATCTAATATTGAGCATGCCATTCACACTCTAACAGAAAAACCTTCCACCTTTTTGCCATGGCCAAAAGAGCATAGAGAGATCTACGCGAACACAACTTTGGAAGAAGGAGGAGGAGGAAGAGAAGAAGAAGAATAAGAAGAAAAAGTTGGTGATTGTCGGCTACTAAGAACATATTGTTGGCTTCAAAGTGTGATGGCAAAAGATTTCATCTCAATGGCAGAAAACCAAACTTCAATCGAGATTCCTAACCCTGTTTTAAGGTCCAACCCTTCCTTCACCCAACTGACCCCAACCCATCCTAGCCCTAATGGGTACCCTCGACCCAACCCACCCTAACCATTTTCACCTAACCCTAAAGGGTCACTCGAACCATATTAACCCGCCAATAGAATGGATGGGTATGGGTGGGTTGCAAGGTGGATCGGTTAGGTCAAGATTATCAGCTCTACCTGGTCCTATTTAATAGGTATTTTTTCCACCGGAAAAAATATATGTAGCTTTTTGTGGTGATGAATGAGTCGGGTTGGGTTGGGAAATTGTTAACAATAGACTTGAGCCCGATGTAGTTGCAGGTAACCCAACTTGCGGCCCAAAATCCCTTCATCACCTTCACCTTCTAGTATAGTTTTTGGTATCTAGATCTTTAGTTAATGAACAAAAAGTTACCCCCGTTTGAAAGTAAATGTTTCAGTTTTACTTAGTGAGCATATAGAAGGCAGGGCATCCTAATGCATGAGGCTCTTGCCAATACGGGGTTTAAGGAGGAATAAATGTACAAAGACTTACCCCTATGTAGAGGTTGTTTCCAAGATTTGAACCCTAATTGTTCATGTTGTAGTGAAGCAATTCAACCATTGTTCAAATGTCCATCCTTGAGGAATGCATTTGGCATGGAATCAAGTGACATGAAATAGTGCCATCGACATTAACTTTGTACCAGTGGTCTGGTCACATGAAAGATAATACTGTAGGACAATCATTTGGTCCCAATGGCCATTTTAGCCATGCATTGAAGACATCTCACCATGAAGGATAAGGAATATGTTCTCAATGCATGATTGCAATGGTTGTTGGCATCTATGTTGCAACCAAATCTGAGCTCCCACTTGGCATGGAGTCAAGTATACGAGATTGAATCGGTTGAGAGGAGGAAATGTGGTAAAAGGAGGATAGAGTGGAAGTAATGACTACCCATCATATTATATGCTTTAATTTATATTATCTTTGTTTACATTCAGAAAGCTTAGTTGTTTTAGGTCAACAGGATTTATCTGTTTATGAAAATAATTTGTTAATGCTTGTATTTTTTGTGGAAATATAAAAAGAAAAGAGGTAAAAGTAAACTTGATTCTAGGAAAGTTAAGGCAAGCTGAGTCACAAAAAAGAAGCATTACTCCCTTAAAAAATCCTCGAGTTACAAGACTATGAATCTTCTTCTAGATCAAATAAAAAAAAACATAGAAGTTAGGCCGATAAAAATTAGGCTTCCACATTCAAACCTAAAAGAGGGAAAGCTCGGTAGGACTAAAGCCTTGAACTCCATGATTTGGTGGACCTCGAGAAAGAACAATGCACTTTGCTCTATAAATAAGTGGGTTATGTTTACTATCTTGGAACAGTCACCAAACCGGCGATGAAGCTAACTGGGTGGAACTTCTAGGGTATCAAATCCCCCCTAACAGTTCGAAGCCTGAAGAGGACCATGCTAGAAGAAAAGGTTAATATAGTTTTTCTTAGTGAAACGAAATTTTCTTTCCTAAACTGTCAAGAAAAATTAAGATCCTTAAAAGAATGGAATGGTTGGGGAGTTGACTCCCGAGGTATTGGAGGAGGCTTGGCTCTGTTTTGGTATCAAAATGTGAAGCTAACAGTTCTTCTATATACAAACACCATTCACGCCATAATTTGTAATGATGATGGATTTGAATGGTTTTGTTCCTCTTTGTATGGAGAACTAGAGAAAGCAATAAGAGACGAATTCTTAGAAAAATGGAGGAAACTTCATACTCTAGTTAGGGGTCCTTGGCTTTGTGTGGGTGACCTAAACTTAGTCTTCAAGTTAGAGGACAAGGAATGATGAAATAGGGTCCGAGACTCCATCCTTAAAAAGAATTGCAAATTCTTAGATGATTCTAATCTCCAACTGATGAACTTTAAAGGTATTGCCTTCTATTGGACTAATAATAGGTCAGGTCTTGATCATATCAAGGAAAACATAGATCATGCTTTGAGCAATTGGGAGTGGAGGCTAATGTTCGAGAATGCGGAGGTTAAGAAATCAACAATTCAAGGGTCAAATCATGTCCAAATCCTAATTAATACTGAAATGAATGTGGTTAAAGGGAGGAAACATTTTAGATTTGAGGAGATGTGGATACTAAATGGTGAGTGCAAGAATGTAATAGAAGAGGCTTGGGGAGAGGAAGTAGAAGGATCCAGTCAATTCAAAGTTAACATGAAAGGCATAAATCTCAAAAAGGCCTTAGTGAAATGGAACAGATAATTCTTTGGTAAGGTCAATGAAAAAATCTTGTACCTAAAACAAACCCTTCAACATCTAAAATGTGCCAAGGCTGAGTTCTTTGATCTAGATGAAATTAAAAAAGTAGAAAAGTAACTGGACCTATAACTTAAAAAAGAGGAGATCATGTGGTCCCAAAAGTCAAGGGTCAATTGGCTCAAACATGGAGATAAAAATACATAATTCTTCCATATATCTACCATAGCAAAAAGAAATAGGAACAAAATTTTAAAAATAAAAAATGGTGAAGGGAATTGGTTATAAAGCCAAGAGGATATCAAAAAGAGCTTTTGTTGAGCTCTATCAGGGGTTGTTTCGAACTTCAAATCTATCTAATATGGAGGAAATATTGAATTTGATTCCAAACAGAGTCTTAAGAGAAATGAATGATGCTCTTGAGAGGGAAGTTATAAATGAAGATATTGTTCAGGCCTTGAACTAGATAAACCATAGGAAAGCCCCCGGCCCAAATGGTTTACTCGCCCTATTTTATCAAAGCTACTAGGAGACTGTAAGGGAGATGTTCTAAATGTCGTTAAAAGCTTATTTAGGCCGGGTTACATGCTAAGAGAGCTTAATACTACTTTCATCATATTGATTCCCAAAACTCTCCATCCTAAATCAATTAACCAGTACAAGCCCATAAGTCTCCGCAATACAATCTACAAAATCATAGCCAATATCTTAGTAAACAGATTAAAGGGGTACATTAATGGAATTATTAGCCAAAGTCAGAGTGCATTCTTAGTAGACAGATCCATTAAGGATAATGTTCTCGTTGCTCATGAGGTCATTCACTTTCTGAGAACTTCTAGAACTAAAATAACATACATGACAATTAAATTGGACATGAATAAAGCCTATGATAGGGTAGAATGAGGTTTTCTCAAGAAAGTTTTGGAAAAACTGGGTTTTGGAGACATGTGGATCAATTGGATAATGGAATGTACAACCACAGTCTCATACTAATTGCTCATTAATGAGAAACCAAGTAGAAGGATCTTGCCTTCTAGAGGAATAAGACAGGGTGTTCCTTTTATCACCTTATTTGTTCATCTTATGTGCAGAAGTTTTCTCACTGGTAATTGATAATTTGACAACTACTGGAAAATTTTTAGATGTGAAATTGGCAAGAAGATGCCCTCAGATTAGTCACTTATTCTTTGCAGGTGATAGTTACATCTTTACAAAGGCAAATATGGAGGAATGACGGAATCTGCTGGAAGCTATTAAAGAATGTGGAAGGGTGTCAGGACAATAGGTGAATTTCTCAAAATCAAAAGTATTTTTTAGCATAAATGTCCACCCAAAATTAAGGAAAATCATTGCAAAAATCCTGCACCTAAAAGCAGTG